ACTCTGCAGCTGTGTGATGTGTCAAAGAACAAGGGCAACCAAATAATCCAGTTGGTCACGCAGTTGGACAGCATAAACAAGGCGTAACATTAGCTATATCTGAAAAATCACGAGTTTGTCCAGGTACTGCTTGTAATGCTTGAATGAACAGCATTACAACCCTCTTGACTTCACATGTACCATAGCTTAACTATAATTTCTTCTGTATGGGCTGCTCCACCGTGGAGGACACAATGTCACACCCAGACTGCAACGCAAGGCCTTATGGCTTCTGGATTCAATTAGCTACGTATGCTATGATTAATGAAACCGCTGCTATAGGAGGGTGAGTGAAGGTTACACAGTAGACACAGTTAAAACACACACATGCCTGCACGTGTGCACACAATCACTATACAACATATGGCCATTTTTAATAATCCGAGCCATTTAGGTGAAATGGAAGAGGGCATGCCTCATTCATACTTGCAGACCTTTTCTGAACTTGTATAAACTAATAACTTTTATTCCTCGTTGGCCATGACGTGTGCATCAAGTTTAAGATCGCCACATTGCAAAACACTAAAGTGTGAGTGAATAAGATGCAGGGTTTTCTTTTTTTTTCTTGTTCGTTTAAGAGAGAAAATAAGAAAACATTAATGGATGAAGCCTATTATGTCCATTTTCTGGCTGCCTTTTCATTACCTCTTCCTGCCTTTTCAGGGAAGACACCTCAAGGTAATATCTCGCCTCTCTGTCTGCATCCTCCTCAGCTGCCTCACACGTCCTTCGCTCTTCATTTTCTCACTCTCCTCTCATCCTCTTTTACTTGTCATCTCTCTGACACAGGTGTGTGATTAAAAAGCGTCATGGCCACTGCCGGAGACACGTCAAAAGAGGTGTGCAGCGGTCGAGTGAGCTGTGCTGAATGGTGCCAATCGTTTTATGGATTTTCTTTCATCTTTAAGTTTGACAGTTTCTGCTAGCTTCAGGAGGATACTTTTAAATAGAAAAATAGAAAATATATTCCTGTGTGACCTTAAAGACCATAAATAAGAAAATGGATGAGCAATACAATTTTTACATCAACAATTTGTCTATGATTATGCAATGTATATTTATGTTTACGGGTTAGAAGCTTTATACCTCTGTTGGTGTGGAAGGCACAGTGTGGAGCATTTACCCTAGCGTGTGAGTGCACTGGCTCCATCCACCATATTTACAGCCTCCCAACCCCAGTTTCCCTTCTTAAAACATTTCTTTTGTTTACCCCCAACCAGAGCTGTCCCTCACATTTTCTTGTCCACTATCCACTGAAGAATGTACAAAACCGCAGGAAGCGACACCATCAAATATACAGTGCAATAGACACTGGAGAAAGTCTGCGGAGGGAATACACAGATCTTGTCACTAAGGGTGGTGTTAAAAGGTTTAAGGACTGCACAACTGTGCTCCAATGATGAGTTTTGACAGGTGCCAACAGTGCTGCTATAACCTGCAGTGAAAATGTGCAATGGGCAAAATTACCACAAATATCTTGTGGCACCAGGAAATCAATGTTTCAGTAAAATGACTATGACATAGAAGATTTGTAGAAGACATTATTTGACTAAGTGCAGTCAGACCAAAACGTTCACTTATTTGTTATATATAATCAAAAAATATGTTATAATATTGTGACGGCAATTTAATTGCTACAGCATTTCCGGCAGTCACACGGTGATAGCTGTTGCATGGAAAATCATACACAGGCACAGTAGGATTAGCTACAGGACTGCCCAGACATTACAAAAATACCACAGGGGAGATTACGCATATCTATCCACCACACTTCTTTCATCTTGTGTGCAGTGTGCAGTGGCGTGACTGTCTGTTGAAGAGAAAAAAGAGAAAATAAAAATAAAGAGCTTGTGGTTACGTGTGGTCCACAACCCACACGTTAGGCCATTCAACTAAACTGCTTTTTCACTCTTTACTTTCTTTATCCTCCTTTCCTTGACAGGACCTCGGGCTACACTTCGATCCCACAGGAGCGCCGCTGTGAGGAAAATTGATGCGCTCCTCGAATGACCGTGGACAGGTAATCAAATCAAGAAATGGTCCTTGTCTGCCAATGCTACAGTGGTGAATGAGGAAGTAGAGGATACACACGCACAACAAGGACATATACATGTGTAGTAACCGCACAATGGGGCTGCATATTGACTGCGCAATATGAATTGTAGCATTCGCAAATGTAAAATGTGGCAGTTTTGTCAACAGTGTGTTTAACTCCTGTTGGTGTGTGTTACCCTCTTCTGGTAATAAAATGGTCCGTTTGCTGATGTAGCTGTTTTAGTGGAGTTTTTCCAATGTTAAGAAGCTTAAAATGATTTAATGGGCATCAAATTTCACAGCCATGAAAAGATTAAATAATGATATGTATGCACTTTCTTTGATTTCTTCTTCAACATCACATTAATGACTGTATGCATGTGCAGCTGCCACACCTGTATTTTTCATTGGTGTTTACCATTAAGATTATTATTTTATTTTAAGCACTTCTGCAACACTATGCATTGGCCATACTGAACAGGTACTTATAACCAGTGGGGTGATTTTATATATTAGCTTTGTAAATCTACCAATCAACAACAATAGCTAGATATGATGATTATCACATGTTCTCAATTTTATTTAAAACACTGCCCAGAAAAATAAAGTAAAAGTTATGAGAACCATTTGGATTTAGGGCTAAGGGTCTGTTTTTGGGGTGGCACGGTGGTGCAGTGGTTAGCACTGTCACCTCACAGCAAGAAGGTTGTGGGTTCAAACCCAGTTGCCCCAGCCTTTCTGTGTCTCTCTGTCTTGCATGTTCTCCCCCTGTCGGCTTCCTCCCACTGTCCAAAGACATGTGGCCTAGGTTGATTGGCCCTGCGATGGACTGGCAACCTGTCCAGAGTGTACCCTGCCTTTTGCCCAATGTCAGCTGGGATTGGCTCCAGGCCCCCGCGACCCTGTACGCAGGATAAGCGGTTGGTTTGTTTTTGGCTGATACACGACTGCACCTCAAGATGCAACTCCAGCCAACTTGAGAGACAGGTTATAAAGTTGAAGTTGTTTATAAATATAACGTCAGACACTACGGATTTCAAGGTGAGTGTGAGAGAATCCGTGGGGTGATAGTTCTGTGTTATGGATGATCAGCAGCAGATATAAAGTGCACATGGTCACCTATCAACCTGTTTCATTAGTAAATTCCAGGCAGTGTAAGTGCTCGCCTTGGATCCAGACAATACAGTATGTTAAAGCTAGTTCACCGATGGATACATTAGGGATGGTACAGTACTTTACCATCATGTGGATGGCCCGATGCTTGAATGACGACTGGGCGTCCCTTTGCCTTCCCCGCCCCTTTTGTATGAGTCCAGGCATAGGATGACAAAGGGAAGTCCATAGGTCACATGAGTGGATGACGAACAGCAATGGAGTACATTAGTGTATCCTGTCAGCTCCAGGGACATTTCTTAAATCTCTGAAGTCAAGGGGTTAGGAGGAACATGGTAGTGGTTACACTAGTGAAATAAAAGCCCAGTTTTATTCTGACATTTAGCATACACTTATAAAGTCCCTACAAGTGAACATCAGTAGGTCTGACAGTGAGCAAAAATGGTGGACAAAGGTAAGGTTTGAGTCATGATCTTGCTCTCGACACTATAACCAAATATCCATTAGGTAAAATCTATTTCCTGACACCCACAGTTTTGAAATAAGCATTGATGCTAAAATGTGTGCTTTCATGTCACCCAAACCCTGAGGAAATTATTATAAAACCGCTTTATGTTGACAACAAAAGAAGGTAATAACAAATAAATCAGGGCCGCAAACAACATTGCTCTGACTCAGGTTTGTTCCCGGCCCTGACACCTTTTAAACAATGCTGTGAGAGGCAATTGAGAAATGTATTTAAAAGGGTATCAGGGAGGTTTGTGTGTGCTTGTGTCTTTGAGTATGTGTGTGTGAGAGAGAGAGAGAGAGAGAGAGAGAGAGAAGAGAATGAGACAGAGAAATGCATTTTTGTATTCATGCAAATCCATTTGGTTTCTAGCTAAGGTATAATGTGGAAATTGAAAACAGAGAAATGCAATGTGACAAGGGCTCAATGGTGGATGAACACTCCAGACAAAGGCAAATATGTGCCCGTGCAGACTCAATTACACATTAATATACACACAGGACATAAACGCCTACGTCTTTAGACACAAAAAACTGAAACCCACTCCTGCTGCCCTCTTCTGAGCATAATGTACATTTGATGCAACAAATTAGAGCTTCACAGGAATACATAACAGAGTGAGATTCTGTGGAGCTTAAACAGCAGAGCATTATAATACCCTGTTATTCACGTGTCTGTCAATATATACAAAAATACACCAACAAATTAGGTCATCCTACAGTCAGTGATATTGACCCATTGCTTTAAAATGCCTCCTGTGTACAATATTCCGATTGGTTTGAACTATCAAATAAAGCTAAAAAATACTATACAAACATATTTGATGTAGCATTTATATCTTTATGTGTGTTGATACGTACTTGGCGTATAACATGTAAATGTGTATGTACATGTACAGTGGGTGTGTGCTGGTCATTATGTCTGCGTTTGGTAGCTTTGTGCAGCACCCTGGAGCAGCGAGACTATCAAACAGGTTCATTTGAGGAGTTCATCTGAGCTGTCAGGAAGCTCCTGAAGGGAGGGACAGTTTCAAAGGCTCATTGAGTTTCACCACAGCTGGCTAAAAATACACTGCCTGACAGCATGTGTTCAGTATAAAGCAGGTAATGATAATTTTAGTCTGCTATAAAATAGATTTTGAACCCAATTAACCCACCGTGGCGGCGTTGATAAAACAAGGATTACAGTTTCATTGTGTTGTCATAATGAAACTTGCCGTGTCGTTTAAAAACATCTCCTCTGATTTAGGGTAATTAGTTCAGTCTGGCAATAGCCATGACAGGCAGCTGCAGTACATTTCACTCACGTGTGTTGATCTTCTGCAAGGAGATGTGTTTCTCTAGCTGCCGTCGCAGTTTGACCTCAGCGCCGTACTTTCCAGTGGTGCCATTGTCTGCCAGAATGAAGTGGGAGTGGAGACTGTTTAGAACTGTCAACTTGCTCATGGGGTTGGACATGGTCTGGTATGGACGCACCACCTAGCCAAGAGAAGATCACATTAAAAATTAAACATCTGAGAGGCCCATGGCTGACAGGGGTATGTGGAAACGTGAAAAACGACAAATGTATGGTTTAATGATGACAAGGGCATGATTTATAAGCACCACTGATGTAAGTACGGGCAAAAAAATTAATCTGGCAAAACATTGCAGTATGTTCTGATTGTCAGGTGTTTTAATTAAAGAAGCACTCCACTGATTTTTCACCTCAAGTTCAATTTCCTTGTCACAGGGAGTGTGCCTCAGAAACAGTTAATGTCCTCTGTGGCTCTGGAGAAAGCTTTCTAAAGTTTGATTATGTCCTCAGGGATTATCTTGGTTTAGGCTTGGAGGCTACACATTTTTAATGGCAAGCCTATGTTATAAACTGGGGCATGGAGTTTGAAAGGCATTAGCATTTAACAGGCAGAGAGAGACTAACGAAGAGACGCTACCGGTTGCATCATGGGAAATGTAGGATCCAGCATTTCGGAGCTTGACACATACTAGCAACCAAAAGTCAGGATAACTCTGCCTCTGCTGCACCGAGATCAGTCTCTTGTGAGTCCTCCAACCTTAATAACTGGAGTGTCCCTTTAAGACATCAACATTTAAGCATACAGGGTAATTAAAGATGTTTGGTTCCTAATAAATAATTTCACAAAAATAAAAAGACTCTATTTACATATGTATATTCAATAGCTGCTGCATGTCTTTTCTACAGCATATTCTACTGCAAGAGTAGCTCAGACACCCTGATGCATTCACACAATCTGTAATTTTAAACAACACATATTTTTGTACTGCTATTAAAGTTCCACAAAATTACACTAAAAATATTAATACAATATTAAACAGTTTCTCTGAAGCCTAGATTAGGTCTACTGGGGCAGCGCCTGACAATCTGAGGTAAATTCATCTGGTCATTAACCGTACAGTTCAGACCAATCAAGCATAAAAAAAGTTAAAAAAAGAGCTTCAGCACTTAATAATCTCATTTCAGCCACCGACATTAATCGGCTCTGTTTGTCTTGTTCTGGTGGACAGAGTGCAGCACATTCTCATGAAAGTTTAACTATAACATAACACTGATTCCAGAGATTTGAATGAGTCAGCAGCATGTGCTCTGCTGTCTCATGTGGACCTGCCAGCTGTCTAACTCACTTTGAAGGAGTGTTTATCACAGACAGAATTGGTTTACTCAGCATCTCAGTTAATAAACTGCAGTTTACAGGCAACTGTGGACTGCACATGACATTTATCACATATACACACGCAAACGAGGGCTTTAAGCATGCAAACACCCACTCTGTTTCATATTGGTCCATATGTTTGCTCCCAGAGACTTACATCTTTGCCAACAAGATCCTCTTGATTTTCTACGATGCCCCATGGAGCAATGCCAATGGTGCAGATCTTTCCCCTTGACTTGGAGGCGTGGTCTTTCAGTGCATCACCCACATGACGAATCACCCCTGTGTGTGTTTGTTGGTGTGTGTGTTTGTGTGTGCATACATGTGGACAGAGAAACAGATTACAAACTTAGTATGGATACGATCAATCCATAAACTTTCATAATGATACACTCTGCTGAGGAAGATAAAGATGCTGTGAAGAATCTAATAGGCGCAGAAGACAAAAGAACACACACAACTTCAAACGCAGACAGGTCGTAGCTCCAGGCCTCTAGTTGTTGTCCTCAGGGGAGCAGAAGTGAGACCTGGAGGCGATCTCATCCCATCTCTCCTGTTGACATTCATTCCTTCTCCGCCATCAACAGTCCCTCCAATCCATCCCTACATCCATTATTCAGACCTCTGTCTTCCTCTTTCTTGCCTCTGGACCCATTCTGTCACTAAATCTTACTTTCTATTTCTTTCTGTATTCAAGTGTGGGCACTCTACAGCATCCAACGCTGTATAATGTTTTTTCCATCTGTTCTTTTTCTTTCCTGTTCTTTTCCTGTTTCCTAAACATTATTGTCCCGTCTTTTTTTTGTTTTTCCATGCCTGCTACATTGAATCTAAGTTGCTAAAAATACATCTCTTTTTATAGACCTAGAAACAATACAAGAACAGTACAAACAGTGAACTCATACAGACAAAGTGAAACAGTGCTCATATGAAGTCCAATAGCAACACCTTTGATAAGGTTTGACCAAAGGTAAAGCTACTTTTTTAAAATGAAATAGCTGTATAAATTTTCAAGATACTAAACTTACATTTAGCAATTTTATGACTATCAAGATCAGAAACATGAGCCCCTTTTCCACTGCATGGTACCAGCTCGACTCGCCTCGACTCTACTTGCCTTTTTTGCTTTTCCATTGTGGAAAAGTTGTACCTGTACCTGCTACCAGGTACTTTTTTTCATATCACCTCCGTCGAGGTTCCAAGCGAGCTGAGGCAATCCTAAAATGTGACGTGAAAACACAGCAGACTACTTATTGGTCAGAGAAAATTGACACTATTCACTGCGTCATCATTGCGCGCGCCTTTTCGATTTCATCACTAAATCCACTTCTGAGAAGTTTTGAGGTGAGAAGTCAACTGCGTAGATTCCAAATATTGATAGTTTTATGAAAAGTGATGGCGGAACAAAAATGTACTTGAAAGTCTTCGGAGTTGAGGAGCTCCGCAAGTGGCAGCGGGGAAAGCCTGCGCCAACCCGCGCGAAGTACACATGAGCCGCCCGCTCATAGAGCCCTCTGCTCCCACCGTCACACACACCGCTGCAGCAACAACGGCAGAGGAAAACTCAGTTGTAAGGTTTTCATACGGCTTATCTGTCTTTACATTCTGAGTAACGTTTTAAATTAAATCAAGAGACAGCTGGATGTAGGTCGCTGGTGTGTGTCGCATTGAACATTACGTCGCGGCAGTTGTGTGTGGCGTTGCTATGACATCCAGCTACATTGAGGGGTACTATCTGCAATGGAAAACGGAGGACGGCGAGCCAAACCCGAGTCGAGTACAGTCGAGGCGAGTTGAGCTGGTGGAGCCAATGGTGAAGTTCCCTCACAGAGACTACTTTCCATATGCATCATAAATCTTGGTTTTCCTTATATTATTTTAACTTCCACCTCCTACTGTATGTTCAAGATCTAGTCCACTGAGCTCGTCATAATCCCTACTCCAGGCCAAATTCATCCACCTGCTTAGTACAAGGAAATTCTTGTATTGCTTTCACTGGAATGCCACTCCTTGAAAAGCACAAGTCCATGATAGACCCAAATGAAACAACCTTTCATTGACTTTCAGCGATAAGATAAATCAGTCTAGACTCCCTGACATTATTTTCATTAAAGATGAATGAAATAATAATTGAGAGCTATCGCTTCACCTGTCTGGTTTGACTAGTGAGTGCTCATAATATACTTAAAAGAACCCTTTCACAGTGAGCCAGTGGTTTAACATTTTTACAGCCTTGAGGGCTTGATTAATGGTTATTTAATAGCTCATAAAGTATGACGGACATTTTAGCACACTCATCATACGCACAAGCACCTGGCCACTCAATTTTTATAAAAAGTGACGCTGCAAATTAAAATATCCTTATGAAATATTTTTACACTACACATGTATGAATGTAACATGTTTTTTGAGTTTTTCGTGATAGTAATGGTTGTTTCTAAAATTAAGCTGCGTGTAGTGTACTTTACCTGTGTTGACCCCGCCGGTGAAGATCCAGGCTCCTGTTGTCATGGCAGCCTTGATGAGCCCTTTGCCAAAGACCTGTTTGAGTTTAGGCTGTAATTCAAAGTTCTGCAGGCCCCCGTGGACTGAGATGAGCAGCTTGGGCAGATCCAGCTGCCACTCCTTGGTCATCAGGTGGAGCAGCAGGTCAGGCTTGGTGTCATAAGACACTCGCACGTACTGAAAACAGTGGCGGATGTGTCAGTGATGTACAGTAAAGTGGCACATCTGCATCACCCTCAGGCACATGATGACTTGAAGTCTGCATGTGCCCGAGGCATAAAGACACAAACAGGAACACACAAATAAACAAATGTGCATACACTACATGATAACATACATAGAAGTATTTGGTGTGAAACAAATCTGTGAAGGCAATAATTTTTCAACTTACAACAATATTGAACAGATGTTTGCTATGATTGGAGAACCACATGCACTATAGAACATCTGTTTATCTACCTAATTCACCATCAGACACCCAACCTGACATGTGCCTGGATGAATAATTTAACACTGGGAATAAATCAGACATAATTCAGCCTTAATCATCTGAATTCCCTGAATGCTACAGAACGTGTGATGTTATTCTGTCAGCGTGGTTATCATAGACCATGACTGTGTGAATAATCAGACTTTTACTTTTTGGATGGATCGAACTTTTATCTACTGCAATGTCTACACAATTAAGTCTTTCAAATTATAATTATTTATTATAATTATATGTAATTATGCAATAATTATACTAATTTGAATGATTTTGTGGTTATCTACAGGCATGATAGTGTGATGAATTCTGCATATGGGTGATGCTTTTACAGTGTACAGCTACAGTGTAATTTGAAGAGAAGCTGGATTGAGGAAGGTACACAAGGATTCTAGATGAGTCCTCACTACATTTGTACTAGGAATATGTATGAAATTCATTAAGTGCCAAAAAAATCATTGAGCTGTTCAGATCAAGGAGTGAATTCATTTCAGTCAGCAAGGCACGCTCTCTCCTCTGTACCTGTGTGCTGTCAATCTGTATCAGTTTATGACAGCGGAGTTAAATATCTACAAATCACATTCAATTATTATGCACTTTCAGCTGTAGCTACTGCCTTTACCAAAGTTTTTACAATCCTCTTTTTACAGTATATTCAGATGGGGCCACTCAGTTTACTCAAACTTTGACAACTCATGTCAATCCAACAGCTCGTGTTATCTGTCTCGTTCTTGACACCCATGTTTAAATCTCCATTCATTTGTCCATCATTCGCAAAGAGTCAGATACTGAATATTAGATTTTGACAAAATTTGGGAATGAGGCATCTCGCTAACACATTCTACCATTTTCAAAAGCACACTTATTAACACAAGGAATCATAATAAAAAAACAGGTGTCACAAGATGACTGCTTGCTCCCTTCTGTTGTTTGGATGTGTATTTTTGGACCTCAAAAAGTGTAATGTTGTTCTGTTCTGGTTTGTCTTGGGATGTTCACTATCTCGAGAAGCAATGTAGATTTGTTAAGGGAGTCACCATGGCTTTGTTGGAGTGTCCTCCTCCCTGGAACTCAATGGTGCCAAAGGCATCAGTGGGGCTGAGCTGTGTGTGTTTGCTGATCGACCACTTCTCTGACAGGCTGTCATTCTTGGCCAAACGCTCTGCCTTATCGTTCTGACTGGATGAGATGCCCGGGGGCAGGCCCACATGCTGACCTATCAGACGACCACAACAGCACCTGGATGAGAAGAGAAAGTAGAAGTGAATGTAATTGTATATTGGCAATATTACACAGTCCTTTGCAGAGTACAAGTTAAAGCCACAGCTCTGAGAGAAACTACTGTAGCACTGAGAAAGGAAAAAAGAAGAGGTTGACAGGGAGAGATTGCGTGTGACTGAGAGAGGGAGAGAAAAAGCACGAGAGCTGCCATAGTCATGTGCCTAGCAGTAAGAGGAGGGCAAGGCTGAAATGACAGCTTGTCATCTGACTTTCATCTCATGATTGGGAGGAGAGGAGGAGAAAAATCTGTAGGCCGCTGCAAAATGTTATTGGCTCTGTCTCTTTTTGCCTTTGAGTTTTTATCTCCCTTGTTCTACTCTCCTCCTCCCTGTCAGCAACTACAGGACTTAGCAGAATGACAGTTATATAAATTTTAGTATTCCTATATGGGTTCATATAGTACTGAATGCAGCTTTCTTATGCTGTGTTTTAACCTTGCAGGATGGAGTGGGAGCCCTGAGAGGAAAGGGAGTCAGGAGGCTTTGATTATCACTTGACCTCTGGTAAGAGATGACTACTTTGTCTCCTTCTGCCTTGTGCACCAACACAAGTGTTTTTGACTAAAAAGAGAAAAGTTAATTTGATCTTCAGGAACATCTCTTTCCCTTTCCCGAGGCTTCCACCCGCTTTCTTCCAGTTATGCTAATCCTGTTTACCTAACAAACAGTGGCATTTCCTGTGTGAGTATGAGGGCCGGCACTGCAGAAATTAGACATGCCTCTGACTTTGACACCCGAAGCAACAGCATCAGCTGTGGAAAAGATTTCGATAACATCACTGTGACAGTGAGCAGAATGAGAGGAACGTTGAGACGTGTCTCTCTCAAAAGTAAACTGCACTTTCACAGTTACACTTTGCTACACTGGTAAGCAGTGTGCTCCTCTCTATCTTTAGCATAGCTTAAATGAATAATGTTTTAAAATGATGCAAAACATTTTACTGACTTCATGAACTGTCCTGGCCCTGAATTTCATATTTGTGGTTTTATCAGGCATAATGTCAGTGTTTTGGCTCATTAGTGTAGAGCATCTACCTGTGATGCAAATAGAGGCCAGCGTGGCTTTACTCTGAGGCATGTTTGAAAAGGTCAGTAGTGAAACAGGGCTCTTTATCTGCTTTACTGCTTGTGAGTTGAGCTAACACATTAGCTTACTCACTCATTACGGTCTTGTAGCTTTTGTAGCAAATAACAAAACAGACATTTTCCCCATTTCCTTTACACACATTCTTACTCACCTATGGGGGTCTTTGGCGCTCACTATGATATGAACACATTCTCTCTTGCTGAATGCTCTTTCTATCCACGATTTCTGTGCCTGCAGAAATGAAGACAGAAGAACAGTCAGTTTCTGTCAGATAATGGAGCTGTGACCCGACCATGCAACGATGAAAGCATACTTTGACTGTTTTCTTGTCCTATAATAAGACAGGTTCTGTTTGTTGTGTAAAATTAAACAATCTGAGCCTTGTTGTATACAGACTTATCTTCCACAGTCTATTTCGTCGACAGCAGCAGTCCAGTTTTGGGGGGTGGCAAACAGAGCACAATGTTGGACCTAGTGTACTTTTAAAAAACTTAAAAATGATAATTTCACATCCACGCCTTGTTAAAAAAGAAAAATCACAGCACTTTGGAAATGGCATACATACACAAATGCAACACACACACACAGTCCCTCACACATAATTCAAAAGCTAAAGACACTCTGACAGAAATGTTTTACGTTATTCAGTGACTCCAGCCCAAACCGCATGAGATGAAGAGCTAGGAAAGAGAAAGTGGATGTTAAATGCAGTGAGGCGGTAAATAATGTCAGAGTTCCAGTCCTAGGATACTGCTGAGTGTGTATGTGTGTGTATGTATTTCTATATGTGTGTGCTTTTTGTACAGTATAGGAAAACATCCTCAGCATAACGCAGCCACTGAAATGGCGTATTGGGACACCGTGATGCTCTGCAGTCACATCTGCTGCAGGTCTGAGTGACAGAGAGACTGACTGGAGCCAATTATCCTGCTAAGGACACCAACACAGAAACGCTGTAGTCACAGGGCTTGCCTCCAAAAATACATGCGTGAATGCTTGTTCCATACAAACAATCATAATCAATGTATGACAAAAGGCAATATGTTTGTATGTACTGTAGTAAACCTAATAAGCTAATAAGAAAGCGGCATGTATCATGAGCTTTATGATAAAAGTAAGAAACATGTCTGCTTGTTTTATTTAAAGTGGCAAAGTGAGTTTTAAAACATGCACAGTTAGGAGATATTCCTTCAGGTTCGACAAGAGGAAATACATAAACTGCAGTAAGTCCTACATAGCAACTATTTCCACCAACATACACATTCTTTTGTCTTGGCAGCCAGAAAGGAATTCATACTAAATGAAATGGATGTAAATCCAGAGACACACCCTGGATCCAGCGAGAACACAAATTCTCACATGTTCATTAACCAAAACAGAAACTGATGAATCAAAAAGAGTTTCCTCTAGTCATTCACACTGCAATGAGTGCTTTGGGAAAGAACACGGGTAATATTCTAAAATCGGACGGAGTGGTGGATGGAGCTGTGGCTTTACACTAATAGGTGATAAGGTGGATTTTAAAATAACAGCTAAACTCTCACAAGCACATCACAGTTCACAGTTTTTGGGCAGTGTCGTTTTTATAATTTTTTCTACTGCTCTCAAACGTGACATCAAAGGCCCTGATTCCAGACATACTTATCAATCATGTTTAAAATAATTGGAATGACAGCAACACAACACAATCGACTGCATGATTTTATCTCCCTACCGCCAACTAATTCAGACTAATTCAGACTAAAACAGACTCGGTCCACCTTGTTCCATCAGTCCTCACACCGAATTCATATTTATATCCCTGCCTTAAGAGGTCCATTTCTTTCAGTTTTTTCCCCCTCTCTGTAATAATTGCTTTTATGGTGATTCACTGGGGAAATAAAATCCAGTTCATCCAAACCAGCTGTGTATTGCATACTGTATGATATAGGAAATAATAATGCTAATAGCTTTATTTGTATAGCACTTTTCAATACAGGTAACAAAGTGATTTACAGCAATCAATGTAAAACTGAAAAGTCGAATCAAAATCAGTGGTGTGCAACGAATAAAACATAAAACAAGTCAATGTACAATTAAAGGGAAGATTAATTACACAATGGTTTGGACTGAATAAAAAAAAAAACAAGTCAATATACAAATAATGGGGAAATAAATTATGCATCACACATTGAAAGCTATTTTGTATAAATGAGTCTTAAGAAGTGAGATGAAACCAGAAACAGACTGAACAAGCCTGAGCATACATTTTCTGTTTCTGTGACTATGAGGATCTTACTCTCTGCCATTTAAATGCACTTCTTTCTACTCAGCACTTTGTGGTTCAAAGGTTTCACTTCCTGTGTTGACACTACCATTCCAGGAAGTGGACTATACCTGTGTGAGGTTTTGTGGTTAACAACACCAGAGGTCCAGAATTGGACCGAATGTCGCAGCGGGAATGTCACACAGACCAGACTCCCACACCCACAGCAGAGGGAACACAACAGCCGTGAGAACAAAAGGACAGGGCTTTTTTTTTTCTCCTGCTTTTTATTCTGGGAGAGCTGCCCCGGCTCTTCTCCCAGCCAGCAGAGCTGAGAGCTGCTTGTACAGGGCTTTCCCCACTGCCACGGTTACAACAACACACGACCCATCCGCCTGACTGGCCCTGTCACACCACGGCACACCAAAACCCATCGCAACCGGCCACAAACAGGCTCGGCCTACACACAGGCACACTTACCCTAACACCAGACTTCCCACGATTAACCATTACTCTGGGGGGCTGGGGGGCTGCTTTTAGAGATCACCCTGGCCACGATGACTCAGCGGGCCACAACAACACCCCCAGCCCCATTCTTTCCCTGACACGCTACAACTGTGTATTCATCCGCCAGCTCATCCTGGTACAAACTAGATCCGCTTAATGGTAGCAGCAGCAGAGGATTTTTGATTTCATTAGTATTGACAGGACTGATGGCACACTCACAGTAGTTTCACCTCAGAGCATGACAAAACCAAGAATTACTTCCCTTTGCATCCCTTCGTTTACTTTAACCCTTTCAATTCTGATTTCCCTTCTTTTACATTTTTCTCACTATTTCTGTCTCATTTTGTTGCATCTCTTCCTCTCACGCTTTCTAGTGTTGCTTATGAGATTTGACATGGTACGATGAGATGACACATGGCCTGCACTACATTGTGCAAATAAAATTTATCACCAAGGTGCACTCGCATGCACTAACACACCTGCTTGGAAGTGACTGTGTGGCAAGTGAGCTGCATCTGACAGCCTGTTAGGGGTTTTGACTCCATTACACAATGCTGTCAATGCCACCCTCCTTACCCTGTACTCTCTTTTGTCCCTTTACTATCATATTTCCTCTTTCTTACTGGTAATGGCAGGGAGCTGAATTAGGAACAATATCTAATCAACAGTTTAACCTCTTTGCTCTCGCCCTTTCCTCTCTCTCTTTTGTCTTTTCCTTTTAAGAAACATGAACGACTCAGCTTTTATAAAAAAGTGCTGCAGGCATATAGGTAGCCTGTAGCACTTTTGAAATTGGTTTTACTGCCATCTCAGTGATTAAAGTAAAAGTGAGGCATAGCTGTATTCCCTGTCATTAAATGTTTAAACAATCAATGTCAATAGACAGTAAACACATTCATAATTCATGATTCAGTCTTTTTATGATACAAATGATGCACTTTATTATTCTATCAAAAGACAGAACTATGCATTTTTTGATTCTTATTAGTAATAAGAATTCTTATTAGTAATATTCCCTGAAAACAATACTTTTGATTTGTGGTACATGAAGACAATATTGCATTTTTTCTGTACTCTCAATCATTCATCTTAAAACAAATACACACACTTAAAACCTCAATTAAAAGCCTGTCCCTTTTACTGGCCTGGTGTGGCTTCATGTTTTGACAAATAAATTCATGTCTCAATTAGACGCCTGGTCTGGTTTTATAGTAGTACTCTGGATGTATAAAACTTCTTGAAGCCCACCGGGTCACCTGCCTGAGCGAGTTCTAAGCTGCTTAAATGCATAGCAATATAAATGTTTAAACATTTGTTAATATGCACATGTTACACATCATTAGATTGGTTAGATTCTCCACAATTCAACAGTTTAGTTCATTTTACAGAAACAATGACCACCAAAGTATTATTCATTCAGATTTACCGGCATGGTAAAGGAATTAAAGGCCTGTCCCATATATAGGTGAGTTCAGTGATTTAAGCAAATAAAAGCCCGGTCTATTAATTGAAGTTTTACAGTAGATTAAATAAGACAAAGGGTAGAGAACGGAGATGGCTATTTTTTTAAAAACTCAATATTTTCTTAGATGGAGCATCCATATACATAGATGGGACTCTGAATACACCTCTCTGAATCTCTCTGACTCTGAATCAGAATCTGATTCTGAAACAAGAGACAATATCTCAAACACTGAACATTGCACAACAGTAGCATTAAATAAAAACCAGTACATAAAGACTGATACCCATAAATGGAGAGATACGAAGTAAAACTTTGAGAAGTGGGAGACTGCGTTTGTCCTGATTAACATCGATCATAAAATCAGCTGTAAGTTAAAAATCTTTGGATCATCTGGTTTTCAAGACTCACCTGTATTATGTGATGGGCTGCATTGTTGTGGCATCATAAGCATGGTTGAAGGTAGTGTTAGATGCATGATCCTGCCTTAAAAGTAAGATCACTGAACAAAACTGATCAGAGCAGCCCTGATCAGGCTACCTCTCAGTCCACTGGCAACTGGTCTACTCTGGGACTATTAGCACTGTGTGTGTGTGTGTGTGTGTGTGTGTGTGTGTGTGTGTGTGTGTGTGTGTGTGTGTGTGGGTGTGTGTGTGTGGGTTCGTGTGTGTGGGTTTGTGTGTGTGGGTGGGAGGTGGGGGGTGCTTATGGTACTGAAGCTGAAGTTACAAACTGAGAAAGCCCTGAAACACCTCTAAACTTTACTTATCTCTCAGTCTCCTCCTATGCATATGAGCCAAGAAATAAAATATAAAAAAACAAAAGCTCTCACATCATGACACTAACTATATATAACTATCTATATATAATGCAGTGCCCTTAGTGTCTGACCCCTTCAAAAATATTCAAGTCAGTAGGCTTCTTCTAGAAATAACATTCTTAAAGAATTACCTGCTGTCCTCCACTTCTCAACAGCACCTTACCTGTTTTAGATTCAAATTTAAGTTGGACTGTCAG